AAGTAGAAGTGGAAAAATATATGTCTTAGTTCTTGTAGATGATTATTCTAGATTTACATGGGTCATATTCTTACATAGTAAAGATGAAACTTTTGATATGTTTATGACTTTCTTGAAAAAGGGCTTAATTAGGCTAGATTTTATTTCTACTGAATGACAAATTGCTGATATATTAACTAAGCCTTTAAGCAGAGACAAGGTTGAAAAGATGCGTGTGGAATTGGGGATGCTACGGCTCAAGTGACTTTTGTTTGGAACCCCTAAGGTAAAATCGGATGTAACTAACGATGCTATGCTCAATCTTGTGTGCATAACACAGCTGAAATTACCCAGGGGAAAGATTTGTGAAGTATTGAAAAGTCACGTATACATACTCTTAATATGTTAAAAATATTGAGCCATGTTGTTTCAAGTTCCCTTTTCATCATTCTTTACTCTCTGTATCATGATCACGTAAATTATCATCATAATTTACAATCAATTTGCTCTTATTTATCCTTTTCATTTTTTATTTATCTGTTTTTTTTTTCTTCTTGTTATTTTCTTTCTTATCTTTTATTCCTATCTTATTTTTTTTATTCTTATCTTTTTCCTTCCTTATTTTTTCATGATGAATTTTTCTATTCCTCATAGAATTCAAAAATACAAAAAGATCTTATTTGCTACGTAAGATAAGAAGCATGTATATCAACTTCTTAACTTACGATTTTATTTTATCAACATTGAATTAGATGAGTGCAATTATTTCACCAAATTAAATCCTACTACCTCTAAAACTACCCCACTACCTCACAGTTTAAACCGTCACTTTTCTTTCTCACTCCTCCCCATTAAACTCTTTTTCTTCTTTTCACTCCACCTTCACCTATCAAATCAATTAAATTCCCCATACACTCCCATAACCGGCCTCACTCTCTCTCCTTCCTATTCACACTATTCATCTTCTCCTTCCCTTCATTTTATCTTCAACACCATGAAAACCAACCGAAACACCACCCCAAAAACCCGATCACCACCATTCAAACCCTCCTCAAACACGGGGTCTCCACAACCGGTGCCAATTGCGGTGGTGCATCCATCTGCTCAGCCAAAGAGGAAGGCTAAGGCTGTGAAGGGCGGCGACAGGAAACGGCGCGCAACCACCAAATTCCCATCATGGAATTACACTCTCGGATATCACATCAACTATGATTGGTGTGTGGCGAGTAAGTTCACTGAATTTACTTCTTTAATTGATTATCAAAAATGGACTCACTTGTTCCAGAATTGTTCTCATTACCCTGTTTATCCTAAATTTATTCATGAGTTCAAAAATACCTTTCAATGTGATAATGGTGTGTGCTCGGCCGTAGTTAATGATATTCCAATTTCGTTTGATGCCAATTATCTTGGAAATCTATTTCAAGTTCCTGTTAAAGGCTATTGTTCTTATTTAAAGCACAAACAATCTGTAAACATTGGCCATAATGATGAATGCAAAATCCTTCAATTTATTGGAGGAAATCCGAAAGTGAAAACTACTCACCATCATGCCCTAACACCCCTTCATAAGCTACTGTTTACCTTCACCTGGAAGGGTATAGTACCCCGTTTACAAAAACGGAGTACCGTATCACTCTTGGATGCCTCCCTCATATTCTGTCTTGCATGCAAAATACAGATTAATTTCCCTGCTCTAATGATTGAACACTTGAATTTTTATGCTCAAAAGACCACAATTCCATATGGCTCTTTCCTTACTGTGTTGTTCAAATCTTTTGGTATTGATGTTGAATGTGAATCCCCAACATATCTCAAACCCGATAATATCCTCTCTGAACAATCATTACTTAGACTGAGTCTTAGGCTTACAAATGGCAAAGTATGTTTTGTGCCTCGGAAAGGAGGGGAGAAAAAGAAAGGGAAAGGGAAAGAAGCTGAGGAAGAATGTGACGCAAGTGATGAGGAGGGCAGTGACCAGGGTAGTGAGGTTGCTAGTGAGGGTGCTACCACCTCCAGTGATTCTGAGGGAGATAAGGAAGAAGAAAAAAGTTCTAACGGAGAGAAAAACAAAGAAAAAATACTTGAGGGAGATGTGCAAGGAGAAAAACAGGAAGATTCTGAGGGGGAACATAAGGAAGTTTCTGAGGGGGAAGCTCGAAAATCTGACTCACATGAGGGGCAGGGAACTGATCAAAGTGAGGGGGAACATACCACAGACTCTGAGAGCACAGCTGGACCACCTGTCATTCCTGTGTTTACAGGGGGCCTTAGAAGGAGTAAGAGGAATGTGGTCAAGCCTGCCCTTTCTACTACACACCCTGTGACTGTAGAAACCATCAGCTCCTCAGACAAATCTGATTCCACCTTCAAACCTACCCAAGTTCCCTCTTCCACTGAACCCTCTTCTATTCCTGTCTCACCTACTAGGCAGCCTTCTCATTCACCTTCTCCTCCTCCATTTCAGCCTACTGGCTTTGCTGCTTTCTCTGGAACTCGTGTGTCTGTTTATGATTTTCAACAGGTTCAAGCAGATATGGAGAAGTTGACTACTCTGGTGAGCAAGAAACTGGAGGAAATGGCCTCGGAACTGCTTTCTCTTAAAGGCCAGGTGCAGGCTCTGGCAGATTCTCAAGCAACCGGATTTGCAGGCGTAGAGGCAAAGCTTGCACAGGCTGAAGGCAAGTTTAGTGAAGGCAACAAGGAGATCTTGGAAACTATCAACAGAGTAGCCTTTGAGGAAGTCGAGGAAGACTCTATTGATCCCACAAATCCAACCCTTGATCCTACCAATGCAGCCTTTTAAATCCTTGATTGCACTTATTCTAATTTCATATGTTGAACAATTTTATTTTGGTCTTGTTTAATCTCTCTGAACTTTGGTTTGTACGCCTTTATCCTTTGCTACATTCTCTATGTTCCTCTTCTATTTCCTAAATCGGAACTTGGCTCGTATTTTTCATATGATTGTGTGTGGTTGCTGATGATTTAGTACCTAACTTATTTTTGCCTTGCATTATTTGAGCTCACTATTCCCTACGTAGTCTAGTGGGAGTATAGCAAAATGTTTTTTTCAATCTTTTGATAATGCCAAAAGGGGGAAAAGACAAACTTCATGGCGGCTAAAGTGTTTACCAAGGAACTCACACATCGAAGGTACAAACTTTTGCTAAGTTCAGTTTTTAAAGTCTTTGTTAATTTTTCTTTTGCTCAGTTTTTTTAAAAAAAAATAATAATAATAAAAAAAAAAAAAAAAAAAAAAAAATACTTTTTAATATTTTTCTAAGTTCTTTAATTTTTTTTTTGTTTTCATGTCTTACTTTAAATTTCTGTTGCATGCCTGGATGATTTTATTTACCTAAGTTTGTCAATGTTTGTCATCATCAAAAAGGGGGAATTTGTTGAGCCTTTTGGTTTTGATGGACAAATTGACAAACTCGACTAATGAATGTTTTGAGTCTTTGGTGAATAAAGGATTCAAGCAAAGTTCGTTCCGGAGTAGGAACTTGGATGCGGAGTAGCATTCTTTAAAAAGCCTCGTGCAAATCTCACGTTCTAGTTTTAATTGTGAGCACTCAATAATATAAAGTCGGAAAGGAACTCAATGACTTATGTTAAAGACTACTGGAATAAAAGTTAGTTTTAAAAGATAATTTCTTAAAGAAAAGATAATTTGTAAAAGTTTTAATAAAGATAATTATCGAAGATAATTATCTAGTTGTTTTAATAAATAATAAATTTATCTTTTCAAATAAAATCTTTTTAAACAAACTTTTGATAATCTTTTAAATAAATATTTGATAAAGTTAGCAAGTGGTTTTTCTGTGAGAAAATCTTTTATACGGCTAATGGTTATCAAGTTGTTAGGATAGTGGTTTAATTAGATAAGGCTAGGAAACCTCTTCATGATCACAATCTGTCAAGATAACTCCACAAGTTGTTAGTGGGTTGTTGACATGTGGACGTGATTATGGTGGAGGTTAATGACTAAGCCTTCTCTATAAATACTCATGCAAACTATCTCAGTAAAACACAACTCTTAAGCATAAAAATTCCAGTAGCCATCTAATAACATAAAGAGAGTTATTTTCCTTCATATATTCTTGAGTGCAATAGGTATTTGTAATCACATATTGTATTCAAGTACTTTGGGGTTGGGATTGTGAGTTTGTAAGGTGAGGTTAAGGAAGCTTCGTTGCTGAAGTCTTCTGTGAGAGTTGGGAACAAGTTCCTAATTTGGGGAACTTGTTAACGGGTTTGAATCTTCACTTGTACAGAGTTTGATTACATAGTGGAAATTTAGAAAAGCCTATATCTTCTCTCGCCATTATTTCATTTAGTTAAATTCCGCAAAAAGTTTTTAGATTTCACCTCAAATACAATTCACCCCCCCTCTTGTATTAGCCAGTTAGACTTTCAAATTCATTTTCCATAGTTTGTCTGGTGATTAATAATTAGTGGAAGAAGAAATCAAGAGTAAACGTGAATGTAATGGTTTACGCCCTGTATTACTCTAGGAGACCTGAGTAATTTTTTCTTGCAAGTAGGGAGAACTTAGCTAATTAGGAACCCCACTTGCTTGGGGTGAGAATCGAACTCCACTCACGAGAGTGGAAAGAATGCCTCCAACCACTGGGCCAACTTTAATTCTCAATTACTACAAGTTGTTTCCCTCAGTATGTCTTTTATAAACTTTAGATATTCTTCCCTGATATATAAGAAAAAGTTGAAGATATGGGTAACACTTTAATTATTTGATTATTACTAAGAATTGAATAGAACAACTCTTATACAACAAGCAAATTGAAGTACGTTAAAAGTACTCCGTATTCAATATATTCATATGATTTACTTTTAGTCTTTTACTACATAAGTTATAAACATGGTACAATGACAATAGTACATACACAATACTATCTTTGCGTACAATAGCAAATCTATTTTTCTCGTGATAGTCTTATTCTAACAAATTTTTTTATATAAACATAATTTGCATCTATAATCAAACATAAGAAGTAGGGTTTTTTTTTTTTTTTTTTTTTTTTTTTTTTTTTTTTTTTTTTTTTTTTTTTTTGGTTTTAGTAAGTAACTTATTAATACCTTGGGATTGGAACAACTTGAAGAGGCTTAACCTTCTGCAATGTAATTCCAAACTTTTCATCCATGTCTAAATCATTAAGAGTCATACCATCTTCAAGTTTCCAATTGTAGTTGTGAAGAAGAGTAGCCAACATCAAGTTCAACATTCTATATGCCAAATTAAGTCCAGGGCATATTCTTCTACCAGCTCCAAAGGGTAAAAGTTCAAAATCTTGTCCTTTCAAATCGATCTCACAATCTAAGAACCTCTCCGGTGAAAATACTTCAGGGTTTTCCCACACCTTTGGATCACGACCAATAGCCCATAGATTAACAAGAACTTGTGCATGTTTTGGAACTACGTAGCCACATAACTCTACATCACTGTCTGCTTTACGTGGGAGGAGAAACACTGTAGGAGGGTGCAAACGTAACGTTTCTTTCATGATGGCTTGTAGGTAAGGCAATTTTGAAATATCAGATTCTTGAATGCTCAAACTACCTTTTCCAAGAGCTTGTTCAATTTCATTTTGACATATGATCATACTTTTTGGATTTTTAATTAGCTCTGTCATTGTCCATTCTAAAGTACTTGCAGTAGTGTCTGTTCCCGCGTTAAAAATATCCTGCCATATGGTAATTTCAAAATATAAATTATACAAATTCTTTATCTAATTTAGTTGCATGCTAGGCTAGTGAATTTAATATGAGAATTTCTACTTCATATTACCAACCAACTTATTAAAACTTCTAAGTAATTATAAAACCATCTTGTTGGTACAATTATCTCATAAGCGTATCTTTTCACGTACATTATAACCGAACAATCATTCAATATCTAGCCCATAACAATTGTACTTTTTTGTTTATAATCTATATGTTATAATTGCCACCTTTGTTATCGTACACATAATTCTATTATTTTTGGCTAGTGGACCATATGCATGTTCCAAATATGTCTTAAGCTCATAATGGTATTAAAAAAAATGTCAAGTAGATCAATTAAATGTATGTATTTGTTTGATGTATATTAAAGGAAGAAAACTAACTAGCTAAGAGCAAAATTATGGGAATTGAAAAAAAAAAACACACACACACAATGAAATGGGAGTTGGAAAATAAAAATAAATAAAAAAAATAAAATTTAAAAAATAAAATAAAATAAAAACATAAAAAGAAAGACAAGTCTTATATGAAGAAATTTCAAAGTAAGAATACTCACAACAAGAAGATGATTAATTTCATCCATACTCAACTCATTCTTGTCATAGAGGTTGAGAAGTGTGTCTAGAACATCATTTGTATGTTTTGCACTTGAATCGTCACTTGATCGAATGTTTTGCCTTTCGCAAATAATGTTTTGAAAAACAACAATGAGTTCATCAAAGTAAGAAGCCAAACGACGTCTTATGCCAAATGGATCAATGTAGCCAAGAATGGGGAAATAATCTGCATAATTAGGTCTTCCAATTTCCTCCATTATGTTCCACATGAGTTGCTTAAACTCTTGGGAAGTACTAGACTCGTGGCTAGCTAGTTCGATTGAGAAAAATGTGTTTGATAATAAGTTTAGGGAAGTAGTGAATGCTGCCCTTCCTATGTTAACCGGTTGCAATTTTTTAGAGCAATCTTGCACGTATGCATGAAGTTGTGATACCTTGGCTTGCCTTAGGGCTTGGCTAGCATCAAGGCGTTGTGTTGAGAGTAATTGGACAGCAGAGATCTTCCTAAGATTCCGCCATTGTGGAGATATAGGCAACCATGACATGGAGAGTTTGTCATGGTTGCCAGCTCGAACAGAATCAGGAATGGTTCGATTTGCAAATGACTGGTCATTTTTTAGAAACATCTCTTCTGCCACATAAGAGGATGATACAACAACTGTTGTGACATTGCCTAGCTTTAGACTAATCAATGGGCCAAAAATTTTTGCTAGGTTGGCAAAGGATCGATGAGGCTTTTCTCCAAGATCGAAAATGTTGCCAAAAATTGGCTTTGGTTTTGGCCCTGGTGGGAGCCTGTTAGAAAAATAACGGATAAAAAAGGATTTGACATGATATAAAAATACAAATAAAATAGAAATAACAACCATAACAAGTGTTGTACTATCCATGGTTGTTACTACTTGAATGGTATCAAAATGCTTAATATAAAAATAGAAAGAATAGGTTATTAAGCTAAAAAGCTTAGGGAAAAGAAAAAAATTCAAGTAATCAAAGTAAAAAAATTTAGGGTAATTTGAGTTTTAAGAACAGATGATTTTTTTCATGCACAAGTTCAGTGGTCGATGGAAGATGCATGACCATACCACACACACTACGTATTTATACACCTCTACAAGTTGTTTTAACAAACTTTTGTATTGTGAATTTGTGGTTGGTAGAATTTTGCAATCTTAATTTTTATATTTTAGCTCTACTATTAGATTGCATAATTATAGAAGCTACATATCTTTTTCAATTCACAAGTACTTTTCTTAGCCACGTATATTTTTAAGGTTAGAACAAAAAATATTTACAAAATCAAATTGAGAGACTGACTAAGCTAGATCCAAATACAATTAAAGATTGTATCCAAGCAACGGTCGTTTCCTTCTAGAGTTCTAGCTCTCTTTGTTGTTTCTTGAATTTTTAGATGACTCTTTAATTTCAATGTCATTTTACAAAATTCAAACCCGAAACTCTAAGAATAGCTTTTTCCTAAATGATTAGATACTAAAAGACATGAGATAAAGTCACAACTATGGATTATTACTAGTACCTTATATTGTCCAACAAAATAATCCTTCCTTTTCACCATAAGTGTTACTACTGTTCCATTTATATACATTAAAAATATCATTTATCAATGTTATGTGCATAAGATTTAACATAATCATATAAGTATGCTAAACTTTGTGAATACTCTGCTTAATTCTCATTGATTATGGAACATCAATATATAGAGTACAAGCAAACCTACAATTACCTTATCTTTGTAATCTAGAAACTAGGAAACAATCACAAAGATAAACATAATTACCATAAACAAACTCTATCAAATATACTCTAATATCTCTGACAACATATCCACAATACCCCCCTCAAGTTGGATCACGGGAGTCAAAAGTGCCTAACTTGGATAAACAATGATCAAACTGCGACTTGCCAAGAGCCTTCGTGAAGATATCAACTGATTGAAAAGAAGTAAAAACATACGATGGAGAAATAAAACCTTCATTAATAGCATCACGAACAATGTGATAATCAATCTCAATGTGATTTGTCTGTTCATAAAAAACGGGGTACTTTGCAATATGCAAAACACGCTGGCTATTACAAAACAACGGAATTGCCTTGGGATGATTAATACCCAAGCTCAACAACAAAGGTTTGAGCCATTTTAACTCACAAGTAGCACTAGACATAGACCTGTATTCTGCTTCTGTAGAAGATGTCGACACGGTATGTTATTTCTTAGTCTTCCAAGAGATAGGAGAATGACCAAGAAACACGAGCCAACCTGTCAAAGAACAGTGTGTCAAGGGGCACACCGCCCAATTAGAGTCACACTAACCTTTCAGACGCAACTCACTGTCTGCACTTAACAAAATTCCTTGACCCGGAGTACCCTTCAAGTACCGCACCACTCGCAGAGCTGCCTCCCAATGTTCAGTACGGGGGGCTTGCATAAACTGTGACAGAATGTGAATTGAATAGGCCAAGTCGGGTCGAATAACCCCAAGATAAACCAACCGTCCCACAAGCCTCCGATAAGCCTCGGGATCTGATAAAAATTCGCCTGTGGCAAGAGCCAGTTTATGATTTTGTTCAATGGGTAAGCCGCTAAGCTTTGCCCCTAACAAAACGGACTCGGAAATAATGTCCAGAGTATACTTTATTTGGCACAGAAACAATCCTCTTGATACCCAAAAAATATTTCAAAGGACCAAGGTCCTTCGTCTTGAAACAGCCACTGAGATAAGCCTTGAAACCAACAAGTGCAGCGGAATTGTTCACCAAAGATAATAAGATAATCAACATACACTAAGACATTAATCTGAATTTTGTCTTTAGTATATGTAAACAAAGAATAATCAGAGTAAGATTGTAAGAAGTCGTACTTTTTCAAAGCTAAAGTCAATTTTGCAAACCAACATCGTGGAGCTTGCTTCGCCATAAAATGAGCTAGAAAAGTTTGCTTATTTCGTGTACATGAGTGAGAAAAGTTTGCTACTCCGTAATTTCGTCAAAGAACCTTTTTTTTTCTAGTATGCCTCACTCGGTTCACCGAAATTTAGCTGTGATTACATTCACATTCGATCCGAGTCGCACACCTGCCTTACGGTGGGTGAATCTGTTAATATTTTGAATGCATTTTGTAACAACAAAGAGTTATTAACTTCATAAATTACCAAAAAAAAAAAAAAAACAGCAAAGCACAGCCAATCACCAAGCTTCGTCGTATCACAATCTCTCATTCCATTGGTCAATATTTTCCACGTCATCATCCTAGAACATTCTACCCTGAAAAAATTCTAGAATTTTATCCCCTTGTAATATTATTATTTATTTAACGATCAATTCCCTAAAACAATACAAAAACAAACATAATTTTCTTTTGTTAATATATATAGTATAAAATTACAATACGAATTCTTGATTTTCTGCAACTTTAATGGCGTCCAAATTCTTGTTTATAGCTTCAGCTCTAATTGTATTAATGGCGGTTTTACCCACTTCTTCCGCTCTCGTTTCATCTCCCAATGTTAATCCCCCGTATCCTAAAGCTATTTCTGTAAGTTTCGCTCTAATTACTTATTTTTAGGGTTTGATTTTATATTTTGATTGGAGTTTCAATCCTATTGTTAATTGATTGTTGTCCATTAAAATGTTGAATCAAGGTTTGTTTCTGTTTGATTTATTAATTTGATTGATTGATAAATGCTAAATGGATTCTTGGTTTTAATAAAACCTGATTTGATCGTGAAATTCGATTGTTGAGAACCTTACAATTTGTGATAGTAGTTATTATGAATGAGAGATGTTATTAATTTATGTGATTTCAGCTTAATTTGATTTTGGAATTAAAAGATTTAAGAAATTGGAAGTTTTGTAATTGGCAGATGAATTTGGATGTTTGTGAGTGTGGGTAATGTACAGTTCTTGATTGGCAGATAAATTAATTGATTGTAGATTGAATTTATTGTTTTTAGGATTTGAAAGAGGCTGTAGTGAAGGGATTAGGGTTTCAAGCAGATGATTTCAGGATATCAGGATTTGATCTGAGGGATACATTAGTGGGGCATTCGGTGGCATATGAATTTGATGTCGAAATTGACAATAAGGTGCTTCCAGTGAAGCTTTTGGAGGATGTGAATCGATGGGAATTCGTCGATTTGCCCATTTTCCGGGTTGAGAAGCCTGTTAGACCCGGGGAGGAGAATGGATTGATTGAGAAGAAGAAGACGGAGGAAAATACGAGTCCGGTTTTGGCACCCTTTCAGCTTGCAGGTCCTATGGAGCTGTGGATTCAGGATGCCAAACACATGAGGCTTTCATTGCCTGTAAGTTTTCGCTGTTCTTTGGATTACTTGTGAATTGTGATTTATGATTGATAATCTATGCATTCAGCATTAATAGGGGCAAATCCATGTACATTGTACAAATTATACATAGTATAGGCAGAGAGCATCATGAAAGACATTTAAATGGCTGCTGATTGTATAATTGAGTTGTGGCTGATCTAGCTTGGTGTCTAGAAGAGCAGATGCATGGGTTTTGAATTGCAATGTAATGTGTTTAGCTCGTCTTTAAATTTGGTGTCACTTTTGTGTTTTTGCATCTAAAGTTGTGAACTTGGAAGAGTAAAGGACTAATTCAACCTATTCAAGTTAATTTTTTTTGCTGAGAACTGCTTGTTATATACTTATAGGAGGCTCATTTGACAGTATGACTGATAACTTTTAAGGGTTGAAAAAGGTGATGCTTAGTAACTTAAAGAATGTACACCAAAGAACAGTTTTTGGTGATTTTCAGTTTTAATACGCATAATTCAAATTATACATGGCCCAATTTTTATGAACGTGCTATGACTGTATTTCTTTCAATCTGTTTGGATATCAATGATGACGACTTCTCTGTTTTTTCACAGCATGATGTGGATGCTGGTGTATTGCGGAAAGTAATTCTTGCAGAGGGTGCTGTGGTAACAGTCAAGGGTGCAAAATCAGTGAGCTTGCGCCAGCCTCTTGATCTACCACTACCCCTGAACCAAACTGAAAATGGTTTTGCCTCTGGTCTCTTAAATCTAGCACAGCATCTTCACCCTGTTTCTGGTGCCAAAAATGCTCCCCTGCTCTCTCTTCGTGTTGTGGGCCCTACCTCCATTACATCCTCTTCTCCTTCCTCACCTTCATCTTCCAACCGCTTGAAGCTGAAACGCCTTGCGCCTGGCCTAGTTGAATTGTCTCAACCTTCAAAGATCAAGCCCATTGAAATGGCCACTGCCATTGACCTCCCTAGTGAAGTTCCTACTCTTATAACACCTGACCAGTTTACCACATTGTGGCCCATGACCTCTTTGAATGGTTCACATTCGAATTTGCTTGGTCTTGAAAAACTGCTATCTTCTGTGTTGGGTCCCAAAGCCAACAAAGAAGGTTCTTTCAGGCTATTGAAGGCCGATGTTTCTGCTCAGACATACTTGAAGATTGGGTTTAGGGTTGAGAAACAGCTCCAAGAAGGAGATGGGATTAAGCTGGAGGGCTTCCCTGAATGGAGGACCAAGCCTGAGAAGGTGAAGCTGCATTTCGAAGCCCTTGCTAAGGTTGATGGGGATAAAATCATTCCCGAAAAAGTTACTCAAGTTCACCCTGTTCTTTTGGAGGATACAGTAGCTCCTAGTGTGTTGCAGGGCAATGTAACTATGTCCAAAATGCCAGTAATGTATCAACCATCAAACCCTTTTACCATCTAATGTATACAACTCCTCTCAAGTATAAATATACGTCAATTAGCTGTAGATATGAGATTTTGCGTTCTCCTGTTGGGTCCATCGATGTTGTGTAGTTCAACTTGTAAAATTTTGATATACAAAGTACTGCCGTACTGGAAGTTATATTGCTAGTCCCCCCCCCCCCCTTTTTTTTTTCCCAGAGTTTAGACTTTTCCTCGTTTAGTGTTATTGATAATTGCTTGATTTGCTTCTTTGGTGAGGACGTTTCCTTTGCGATTAGTACTGTCATTAGAGATGTGGTTGTGTTTACTACAATAATGATTGTTTCTTACGTGCACATTATTCAAAAATGGTTACTTATATGCATATTATATTAAAAAATCATCACCATTGGCTGCAATGGTGCGGCCTCCAAAGCTTAGTATACTGTATACTAATACTATTCTCCAAGACCTCCGGTATCTTGGTATGCTTATTAGTGTTATCTTTGGTCAATTGATGTCATAATTTTGAGGTCACAATTTTGAGCCTTAGTATCTACATAAATATGGCTCTTGGCCATGCCGGGTCGTGCCTCGTACAAGGCCCAAGTGTTTTGAAGTTAGTTAGGCCCGGCCCATGGCTCGGCCCACGAGTTTTGTGTCGCTCGTGCTGGACCGAAGTTTTCAAAAGGATGGCCAGTGCACGACCTAGACCCTCGTTCCATTGTGTCGAGTTTGCATATCTAAGCAAAACTGCATTGATTTTAGCAGCTTTGTCGTGTCGTGTCTTATCATGCTTCTCCCAAATAAAGACGGTCTACGGCCCACACGCACAATGTCGTGTCGTGCTTTTTTGTGTTGATGTGTCGGGCTTTGAGCGACCCGGCCCGGCCGGTGCTATCTTTATATCTACCTATGCTTGATAGTAGGGGTGAGCAAAAAATTCCGGGTACCCGGAATTGGAACCGGAACCGGTTAGGAATCGGGGGTCTGAAACCGAAATTGGACCCGGTGGTTCCAATTCCGGGTAATAAATTAAGGACCTGGTTATAACCAATTCCAATTCCAATTCTCAACTTTTTGGAACTGGAACCGGTTGGGTACCCGGTTACCTAATATATGCTAAACTAAATAAATTTTAAATAATTAAAATATGTTGAATGTATCTAATTTGTAAATTAAAAAATTATTATTAATACCTAACATAAATACAAATAGCTTAATGCATATATAAATATAAGTATTAAACGCCAAAAATGAACCTAACTAAATAAAAATTATAATTTGTATTATATTTTAACAATTACATACATAAGTGGGTGCCCGGTGATTCCAATACCAATTCCTAAATTTTAGGACCCGGTTGAACCAATTCAATTCCGGATCCAAATTTTAGGACTCGATTCCAACCAATTCCAAGTATGGGTCCTAAAAATTTGACTGGGTACCTGGTTTGCTCACCCCTACTTGATAGAGTGACTAATAGCTAACGTGACTTAAACTCAACCCAAATTAATTCATTGTAAAAGACACACTTATTTTGTAACTAACATTTAATGGTAAAAACAAAGAGATTGATAAGTTACTTTGTATTTCATATCTAAATAATCATTACATCCACTTCATAATTCATAACACATACGTTGTATATGCAAAGTATATATTTTTGTATGTCGTATCTGATCATATAAACCAAAGCTGTAAATGTCACTCCATTTAGTAATTTAATGTGTTGTCAATGTTAGAAGAGAGATATCGTATGAATTTCAATTTAATTGGCAAGCTTCTCTAGCTATGGTCTACCAAGACAAGACTTAAGTCGTAACTGGGTGTTTGTGTGATCTACTGTCCCATTCATGGGTCATGGTCAGGTCCACTTCTATTGTCTGGGAAAAAAAATTAGGAAAATAAAGAAGTGAGGTACAAAAAAGAAATGAATTAATGAATTCTTTTCTTTTTTTTCAATTAAGTAGTACTGTGCTACACATTAGCATGTGAGAGGCGTTTAAATTTGGGATTTGTTAAACATCGCCCACAAATTACTACATAAAGCCCACAAAATTTACTTGGTTTGACAATATTGCCCTTAACCTAAAAAAAAATACACTCACACCCTCATCACTCAAACTCTCATCGCTCATCTTCTTTGAACCTCTCTAAAAAAAAAAAAATTTCAAACAACGGCAATGTCGAGGCGGCAAGGCAAGGAATTGGCGGCGGCGGCGGAGGGAAGGAGGTCGCAAGGAGGCAAGGTACAATTTGTAAAAAAAAAAAAAAAAAAAGGAAAAACCGCCGTGACGAAGGCGGGGCGCGCTGGCTGGACGCCCAGCAAGCGGTGGTGGCGCCAGCTGCAGACGCCGCCACCAGTAGGCTGGCGCCTGGGCTGGACGCCATAGCCACGGTTGTGGCGTTTATTCAAGGCGCCGCAGCCGTGGCCTTGGCGTCCAGCCCACTGGTGGCGGCGTCTGCAGCTGGCGCCACCACTGCTGACTGGGCGTCCAGCCAAGGCGCCCCCCCCCCCTTTTTTTTTTTTGAAATAAAATATTGTTTTTATTTTTTTTTTGTGTAATATATTTTTGAAATGTTTTTATATTTTGTTGTTTATTTTTATAAATTTTTTCAATTTTGTCATATTTTTTCTATGTTTATATTTTGTTTACAATTATTTGTATGGTTTTAGTTTATTTGATTTGGGAGTGGTAGCTATTTTTCGTATAAATTTTTGTATGTTTATATATTTTAAAATTTTGTGTAGAATTTACTGGGTCGTCATGGTGCGGGGAAGAATGTAGAGCTTCTTAGTAGAATCTATTCAGTGGAGAGGTCGGGGCATAGACATGTCAGATCCCGTGGTATTTCGGCCTCAGCTCGTAGAGAACGGATCCACCGTCGGGATGAGGATGACGATGACGATGATGATGCTGAGGAGGGTGACCAGGAGGAGGAGCAGGAGGAGGGCGCAGATGAGGATGAGGATGTGGACGATGGCAGTGGACCGTATGATGATTACGGTCCATTCAGTCAGAGGGTTGATGACATGTACGAGACACATATGGTGGAGGTGCGTAAGGGTAGGGGTGGTAGGTTTGTTAGTAGATCTGGCACATCATCTGCGTCCACTGTATCTGGGGCAAGCAGGAAACGGTCGAGGGCCGGTAATGATTCTTGGGTTGTTAGGAGTGAGGTGCCCGGTGGGCCTGTTGACGGGAGTGTGATTCCTAGCTTTCTAGGACACATAGCTGCCCGTATTTGGGAGGACCAGGAGAGGCCTTCAGTTACGGGGTTGTTGAAATGTCATACCCGGGAAAAGACTTGTAGCTTTTTGCGTACATGGGCTGAGGCTTGGCCGGCGGAGAGCGAGATGTTCGAGCGACTGGAGGGCACTGGGGTGAATCACGTTCCTGCCACCATGCACGATAAGATTGACAGTACGCTGATCACGGCTTTCATTGAGCGATGGCAGCCGGATACAAACTCTTTCCACCTTCCGTTCGGTGAGATGACGATCATGTTACATGACGTCGAGGCCATTCTAGGGATTCGTGTTGAGGGTAAACGACTTTGTGCTGTGGCTAATGCGGATCAGGCAGATTTGATGGCGGAGTTGTTGGCGGTGGACAGGGCTGCACTGTACACCGAGGCGCTAGGTGTTTGGGAACACGGAGGTGTGAAGATCGCATCCGTGTTGCAGCGGTGTTTGTACCCCAGTGCACGTAGGACGCACGACGCACAGCTGAGTGCTTATGTTTTTCTACTCCTCGGATGTACCTTGTTTCCGGATAAGAGCGGCGGAAACAAGCTCAGGCCACGCGACATAGTGGAGGCGTGTGACCCCGACAGTGTAGGCCAGTTTTCCTGGGGATCGGCTACGTTGGCGTATTTGTATCGCTAACTAGGATTTGCGAGTCGGGCTGACGCGGCAGGTATCACTGGGTGTCTGACTCTATTGCAGACCTGGATATACGAGTACTTTCGTGCATTGCGACCACATCGTGACCCAGTTCCTATTGATGAAGGGATGCCGCGTGCTTGTGCGTGGAGTCCGCGCTCGGAGAAGAAGTCCGTTGACCGCCTCCGATCGATACGGTTATTGCTGGACAGGCTGTCCCCCTTAGAGGTAACGTTTATAAATTGTTTCTACATTTTATTATTTGCACATATTATATTCATGTTATTAAATTTTATATGTTGTTATTGTACAGGTGAACCGGATGCCTTTCGGCCCGAACCCTAGTGTTAGGATACCCAGGACCCTGTACACGGGACTCATTCAGTATCGTGAGATCGTCGAGGCGTACATGCCCCAGCGTTGTCTTCGCCAGCTTGGATTTGTCCAAGTTGTCCCTCCTCCCCCGGCATGCCCGATGAAGGCGGTCCGACCTGCATCGTCGAGGGACTACGTCGTGCAATGGTCGGATATCATGACCGGGACGTGGGACCAGTTTCCGATGGTGGCCCGCTTATGGACTGCGGAGTTGCAGCGGCCGCCCTCTGGGGTTACTCCCATGTGTGACCATTACTACATGGAATGGTTCAACCGGTATTCGCACCCGAGGTTGATCGCAGATCTCGACCACAGCGATGATGATTATGTGCCACCGCCTACTGCCACGGAAGCGGTATGTCTTTTATTATATTTATCGTTGTCTTTTAATTAAGTTTTATATGTTGTTATTGTATTTCATCTTCTGTTTTTTGTTGTATGCAGTGGATGGGAAAGATAATGCAGGACGTACAGAAACTCTCTCTTGAGAAGGACAGCATGAGTGCAACAGGGAGAGCTGTTGTTGATAGTCTGGAACAGACCCTTGCGCAGTGGGAGTCGTCGTCGAGGAGGGATTACTGATGGTTTTGTCATTTTATTTATAGAGCATTATGTTGGACATTATGTTGTAAGATTGTAACATTTTAGATTGTTCTTTTAGCTTCCAACTTAAACATATTATCAGTGCTGTTTTTAAATTTTGATATAACTGTTCGTGGATCCGCTCAACTTACCCATGCAACATATAGAATGCAGTAAGCAATACAATATAAAATATTAATGTTCTCATTAAAAGAGCAACATACAAATAAGATTACAAATAAAGAATGTAAACATGAAAAACTAAAATGCAGCTAGGGTGTTCCATTCGTGGATCCGGTCATGATATAGCGCATCCCAACCCTCTACGCTCGCTGTGCGAATGTTGTACCACCGAGGTATAATCGGTGGCACTGGAAAATCGGTTGACATGTCTAGTCAGATGAAATGTCTGTATGACGACCCAAGAAACGCAAT